AAAATCTAAGTTTCGAGAGAATGAGACGAATGCACAGTTTCAAGAGTAAGATAATTGTAGGATTTATTTATTATAATATTATTACCATCTATAATAAAGGTCACCGATATGGTCTCTGGGTGGAATAGCTGATAAAAAGTACACTTTTTCAAATTCAAGCACTAAAAATGGAATTCTGAATGTGATAGTTATAAATAGACACCAAAATCGTAGGATGTTTATCAAAGAGAATATAATTCGTTAGAAATTATGTAGATATAAATAATCCTTTTTTTTGAAACTCAGGTATAAAATTTTTTTTGTTAGTATGCTTTTCAATTTCACGTTTTCATCTAAATTCATACGCTGTCTAACAAACATTTTAGGATAGACGAAATAAAGACTTTACGAAAAATATATGGAAAATACTGCTGGACTGAACGAAAATTTTGGTAAAATGCAATGAGAGATCCAATAGAGATATTCTCTACAAATGTTTTTTCAACTCTATAGCCTGCCACACTTGGAGACCCTTATTATTTATAACATATCTCGTCTTTATTCTTTGGACCACAAACTTATCTTTCTAAATACTCTCGTCTAAATAAAGATTTGAACAACCAAAAATTTAAAAAATGCATTGAATCGTATCGCTCCTCAGCTTATCGAACTGTGCACACTATGAGTCTCAAATTTTAGCCCCGTTGTAAGCTCCACCGATTCACGCTGGGCGTTCAACATATTTTAAAAATGTTTTTATTTTATTGAAACATTAGTATGTAAGTTTCTTAAATACGCAAATATTACAATTAATAATATAATTTTCTTATATGCGACTTAAAATGTGACAGTAAATTTGCTTTTGAATGGAATTTATCAGCTGCTCCTAATGTATTCTGCAGTGTTCTCTAATTCTTTTTCTCTGGTGTATCTAGTAATCCTTCCTTTTTTTTTAAATATTTCAGACAATACAATTATTATATATTCTATGTATTTCATAATTATTTATTATAATATTTGCGAAATAAAGAATTTAATATTAATTTTTTAATAAAATATAAACATTTTTAAATAGAAAAGAAATGACATGTTTGGTAAAATAAAAACAGACCACGCACCTTCTTTCTTTATTTTGACCGTCGGTTCGTTTATACCTTATACTTTTATCGCATACCTACGTGCTTCTCTCTGTTTATTCTTCTACCCTTCTATCGCCCCTACCTACAGTTTGAGTATCGAAATAATATGTGTTCACTCTTCGCAGTATGGAGACGCACACAAACACACACATATCCAACCAGGAGCGATAACTACGAAGCATAGTATAAAGAGGAGACCGAGAATAGGAGAAAAACTGTATAGCTATATTCCATCTTATTCTCTCGCAGGCTCAATCCTATATGTTTGTCTCTTTTTCTCTCATTATTTAGTGTAGCAGCCGTTTCATAGCTCCGTTTCCTGACCGACCGTGTTTCATTTTTTTCAGATCACTCCCTATTTTAAAGAAGTTTTCACTTCAAAATATTTTTTATAAGATTTTATTTATTCCTTATATTTTTTTTCTTTTAAATTATAAGTTAGTATGTATTATCATTTCTATGTGAAATTCAAAGATCCCATGAATGCACATAGAAATGGAGTTTCCTTTACATCGCGTATACCAATTTCGTTTCATCGTACTTTGACTCGGAACATACGTATAAACGAGCTCATACATACATACATTTATATATATAAATATATATATACGCGTGTGTATGCTCGATTGGAAACTGTTGGGCATCGGAATAACCATTCAAAGACCACGACGTTCAGGACGAGCTTTTGACCGTAGAAACCGTCGAGAGTTTGAGCACGTCAAAATACTCAACCTCAATTGATCGTCCATAGCAATCACTATGCCACGAACATGTACGCAACAAAGTATTTACACCTGAGGCTAGAAGCATATATATACATGATACACATGAGATTGGGGTCTCGTACGTAAAGTTAATAAAACTTCTCTCTCTTTTTTTCTTGTTTTTTTTTCTTCTTCTGTTTTCTTAATCTTACAGACGAAATTTAGTTTTCGCACTTAATCCAAAAAAATAATAGAAATGACAAAATTGTCCATTTATCATAATCAATTTCTCTTTTTTTTTTTTCTAATCCATTAAAAATCTAAAAAGTCAACGCAGGCATCGTTCAAGTCCTACAATTAATTGAAAATAATAAATCAAATTAAGCAAACAATCATTTCTATGATTTATTATTCAGTGATAATAATAATACTAGAAATAGATATTCAATATTCACTCATTGATATTAAAAATCTTTCATTTATTCTAAAAGATTACCTTAAAATAAGTTTTTATTTATGAATAACAATGAATGAAACATTGATAACGTTGACTGTTTTTTTATTTTTAATTTTGTAATATAAAATTACAATGAATAATAATCGTAATGTTTAATTCTTTCCTTTTACTCATACAAAAGAGAAAAACGAAAAAATACGGAGTAAATAAAAATAAAAGAAAATCAAATTACCCCCGGTGTATAAATTTAGAACGAAAATCGGCTTAACCGATGAAAAACTTCTACCGTTCATTTTTTTCGCTTTCTTTTCTATTTTTTTTTTTATTTTTTTTTGTTTATCCCTTTTAACCTGGCCATGGCTTTTTTATCTCGTTAAAACTGATCTCGAATTGCGTTTTTCTAAATTTACGAGAAAGACCCCCTCTTTTGCCCCCTTTTTCTTTTTCTTCTTCTTTTTCAAATGGTCTACTAAAACCAAGGACGCATGACTATTTTTTTTTTTGTTATTTTTGGTACTTTTAAAAAAAAAATTTTTTTTCCATGTATATTTATAATATATGTGTGTGTGTATGTGTGTTTTTCTCTTCTTTTTCTTTGCGGTTTGTAATCGTTAAAGAAAAAGAATAAAAAAAATTAAAAGAGAGAGAGAAAAGGGCAGAAAGGGAATGGGATGCTGCCTGGTCGAGACAGTTTTAACTATTGTACAGTGTAGGTGCAGTAATGAGAGACAATTGTTCGAGGAATACAATACAAGGAAATATGCACAATGGATGCTCGTCGACGATCGTTAGTTAAGATATTCCCTCTCGTTGCCTATCCATTGCATTATATATATATATATATAAATGGAATTGTGTATGTTTATGTGTTGTGTGTGTGTATTTGATGTAAAGAGAGAGAACGAGAGAGAGAGAGAGAGAGAGATAAAGAAAGAGACAGAGACAGAAAGAGAGAGAGAGAGAGGGATTACGTAACGAATGGTGGCAATGTATAAGGTGGAATGGTAATCGTGAGGGTGGAAGAAAATAGTGTCAGGTGCGATGATAGATGAGAGGATTTTATGAATGAATGATGAGAAGAATAAAGAGTCAACGAAATCAAAAGGATAGGATCGATGAACGAAAGATTCAAAACTAGAAAATAATTAATCTATATATATAAAAATGTAGATTTTGTTTGTGCCTAATCGGTAATCTCCAAAAGTAATTTACTGATTGTCTTGAAATTTTGCATACACGTTGCATTTGCATACAGATAGGTTTTTGTTACATTCATTTTTTTATAAAATAATTAATTAATTAAAAAAAAAAAAAAAGAAAAAGATACAGTTAAGTCCAGCACCATCTGTTGGTCATAGATTTTGGTGAATGTACGAAACATTTGAACATAACCTAATCTTTATTTATAAGACAACGTCATATTTTGGCTCACATAAGCCACAGTTATGCGTGGCGGGGCACAGTTAATATTTTTATTAAAAAGATATACTAATAAATGTTTAATGGTATCTAACGAATGTTATATAATACTTAACTCCTGATGTTTTTTTTTATTACGTGTCAGGATGGATATAACGCAATTAAGTTTGGTTCTTATTATTTTTTGTCTTCTTTTTTTAATATTTTTTCAATTATAAAATTCTATTTTAATGTATTAGAATTGTATTAATATAAAGAAAAAATTTAATATAAGCAATTATAATAAAATATTTTAATTTGATTTGTTAATATATTTTATATGGTATTGTCAGCAAATTTTTGAATTTTTTCAATCATGTTCGATATTTCCTGTTTTTTTTTTGTTTTACGAATAAGAACCCTTTAGGCAAATTTTTTTTCTACGAATAGCAGAATTTTATCATTACTTTCTGATTTAATTGATTTAATCGAGTACTGTGGGGAAATTATACAAATTTAGCGAAATTGTTAAATTTAATGAAGTTTCTTTTTATCTGAAATCAAATTTTTACGTCTTTCATATTCGATCAAATTTTTATGCAAAAAAGATGCAAAATATCTTCAATATATTTTTAATTTAATTTTTAAATTCCACGTATTTGATAATGTAAAAAATAAACTTCTGAAATTATACAATCCTGTTTCTAATTTTATTTTCTATAAATATTTTCAACTTTTCTCATATTACTCTGCAGAATGTAAAAATTATGAAGCCGATTATTTTTTAATTTAATTAATTAATGAAGTACCACGAAAAATTATATAAATTTTAAATATATTATTCAAATAAAATTTTTTCATTTATCATAGTCCTTTATATTTCTACACGAAAAAGAAGAAAAACAATTCTGTATAATAACCTTACCTAATTAATTAATCTAGTTTCTAAGATAATATAAAAAAATTAACAAAATTATCCAATATCATGATTCTCATGTTTGTAGAAATGAAATTTTTTTCGTTTACCATATTTGACCAAGTGTTTTTATTCAAAAATAAAAATAAACTATCTCGATTATTTTTTGATTTAATTATTTGATACGATGAGTAAAATAGTATTTAAAAAAAAGAATTCAAAAAAAATTATCAACGTATTTCAATTGTGTATTTTATTTTTTTGTCTACGCGTAAGATTTCTTTCTTTCATGTGACAATTCCAAAAAAGAATTTAAATGATACCATTCATTTCCCTCTTTAATTAATTAAATATCATGTCAATATCATAAAATAATATTTAAAATATATTTGTTTGTTTTATTACAGACACGTTGAGCCTGGGTGACCGGACGTTGGATAACATGGATAGAAGAACAAGTCAAAGTAATAGGCCTCGTCAACAAATTTTGGATAATTCGTCGGGTCTAAAAATCAAACCAGAACCAAGTTTCGATTATTCGCAAAATACGAACGTGACTGCGTTGATAGGAAAATCGGCCTATCTCATTTGCCGAGTACGTAATCTCGGTGATAAAACGGTAAGAATTATTTATCCATTAGTATTAACATTATCAGTAATACAATTTCAATTAACTTTACGAAATAAGAGAAAATAATTCATATTAATATTTCTATCTAAATCTGTGGATGAGAAAGAGAAAGAAGAGAAAAGGGACAAGGGGGAGATGATAGGGAGGAAGTAGTAATGGGGGTTGTAGGATTACACGCTGATATGACACAATAACAGGAACGTATATGCATAACAATAGAAACGTATAATACTGCTTAATCCCAGTTGTGAATTTACGACGAATCCTTTATGAAATTACATGTCTGCAACGTGAAGAGACGAGCACGAAGAACTATTATGTGCATGTACGTGTGTGTGTGGGCGTGTGTATCTATATGTGTACAACGTTTTCCAATATTATCTTCATAAAGTCTCCATAAACGCACATATCCATGTATACACAGAGATTAGATGGAAATTTCTTTTTCTTTTTTTTTCAAATAAATGGTTTTTGATTTTTTGCTATGGAAAAAGATTAAAAAAAGCTATAAATTTCTATTGAAAAAAAAAAAAAGAAAAGTAAGATTAACTTTACAATAATATTATTATATAGTCTATTATATTTTTATATTTGCTATTAGAAATCAAATAATAATATTTAATTTAAAATACTTTTTCCCTTGTGATATTTAAATGTTTAGAGACGCGTCAAACTTAAAAGTCAAACTTTTTTCATAAAGTCAAAGTTACGTATAACATTTTTTTTTTTTTTTACTATGTATACTACGGAAAAAAAAGGAAAGAAAAAATCATCGAGTAGATAAAATCTGTTGGAAATAGTCGATCGGTCAAACGAGTATTTGTTTTTCGGACATCGAAAGAGGAATTTCCTGAACATGGTAAATATTTTCCTAGAAAATTGCAACATGTTGCCCAAGCTTTTGACAAATTCAAACCGGCGAATTTTACTATTCGTGAGAGAGTAAAAGAGACATATATATAGCGTTCACTTTTATCGAACGGTAGTTCTCGATTTTCGTAAAGACGTTTCAGTGAAAACGATTTTCCCAAGAAATAATCGAATCTCTCTGGGTCGATTGAAGGTTAATCGAGCTTTTGAGGGGAAACTAGAACCAATTTTATCAAACAGTGCTATCGTTCCTTAAATTGACCAATCAAAAGCTATGCATAGAGATTTCGAATATTGCGTTTATAATTCTCTCTCTTTCTCTCTCTCTCTCTCTCTCTCTCTCTCTCTCTATCTTTTGATTACTATATTTGATTGCCCAAAAAGTTCATACAACCTTATACAAAATTTTATTTTATTTTGTTGTTATTTATATAATATATGTTTTCTTTTTTCAATCAAGCAAAACTCTATTCGGGGCAAGCTAAGCAAGCGAAAATAATTGCTGATTTTAGTAAAATTATATTTTACTATGAAATAATAACAATCCGATCCGAGATTTGCCAATAATACGATTATGTATTAGGTTTTTAGAATATTGATTGCCGATTTTCAGAACATTTCTATTCATATTAAAAATAATTCATCATCACGAGCTTTCCTGGTAACCCATATATTTCTCTTTAATCGTTTATGTTATCTATGTAAATAATATTATCTATAAACATGTAGATTTATACAAAATGATAATAAGCATTTCTATTAATGAAATACAAACGATTCGTAAATTATCATCGAATTCGACAATGATAAAATATTAAATAGCTTGGGATATGTTGAAATTAAATTATTCTCTCTCTCTCTCTCTTTCTCTCTCTAACTACAATAGATAATATTAGATTAGATTTTTAATATAATTATCTTCATGTTCATTTCTTTTTTAGAAAATATACTTATAATATGTTGCTTGTTTGTAAGCTAATTATTTTATCTCTTTCTTCTTCTCTGCCTGACTTTAATTTTTTTCTCTTTTTCCTCTAATTATTCGCTAAATTACATTTTGAAATTGAGTTCACCGTACAATACGATTAAGTACTTTCCTGTTACAATCTAACTTCTCCGTAAAAGCAATTTAATTATTTCGACTATTGTAATTGAACGACGATTACAAAACCGATTTAATTGATCCTTATTATTAATCGATAAGATCATAAAAAGTATCTATGATCATTTACTGGTATTTTAAAATCTACTTAATTCCACTTCATATTTAGTTGAGAAAAAAAAAATCCATAAATGACCTCTCTCGCGGATAATTAACTTTTTGTCGAAAGTAAAAATGATCAAATTGTCATATCGTTCATCTTAAATTGTTTCAATGTATAAAAACTCTCCTATATAATTTTAAAAATTAAGGAATTGTAAAAAGCAAAATGTATTGAACAATTATTACAAATGGATATTGGTAATATTTTTTTTATACAGATACAAATGAAGCTACAAAATTCTAGATTTTTATTCGATCGACTAATGTTGATTTTCAAATACTTTACAATAAAAACAAATGTAACATTTACAGTCAAAATATTTACTTATTTTAATTTCTCAGTTAGCATAATGCTATTTTAACAAGAGATTCTCGTTATTTTGATTAAATTTTAACAGTAAAAGAGATTTTCCTGACCGGTAACTATAATGTTTTTTTTCTTGTATTTAAAGTATAACAAGTTTCATGCGATTAGCAAAAGTTTTACTGTGCACGCACCTCGCAACTAAATATGTACTTTAACAACACGTTTATATAAGCACGAATTGTTAGAATCAGGTTTAAACGGGGATTGCTTCATTTTAAACGGGTTGAATGTAGAATTTGTAAGACTTAAAGACGCAGTTGGAATATTTATCGTATCTACCTAACAATTCTCATTATGCGTTTATGGAAATGAATATTTAAAACTTCATTCAAAAACATGAATTTATCTAACAAATGAATTCGTAAGATAACGATACAAATAATTCATAAATTCTACATTCGTTTTAGTAAAATATAAAAAGAAAAAAAGATCTGAGAAAAGATTTTATCCGATTATCTAGAAAAACTTACGTTATTTGATATATATTTTTAATAGATATAAAATATTTTGCAAAAGTTTCCCAAAAAGTTCGTACTTATTTTGAGTAAAAGTGTAAATCAAATTATAAAACATTAAAATAAATAATATTATTAATTTTTTAAACTAAATCGAGTTATACGAGCACAATCAATAATTCCTCATTTCGCAATACTAAAACACATTTCAATTTCTGAACTCGTCGATGTAAGACGCTTGAGAAATGGAAATTCGTAATATGGCAAGTGGAATCTCGCTTATCCTGACGATTCCATAGCCTCGAATACATGGTTAGAACCGGAAATTTCATTTATTTATCGCCCGAATTCCATAGCTCCAACAAAGGGAGATAGTATGATCTGAGAATCGTTTTACATATACTTACATATACATAGATCTGTATATGACGTGCATCGTGCAATTTCTGCCCTCTAGAAATGATATTACCTTCTCATCTTGATGCTTGCGTATGAGCTCGTCATAAATTCCTAATCATATTTTATTTCAAGGTTGACTTAAAATTATACCCGTAGAATCGATGATCAATTTCTACGAAATTTAAACAACATCAAAATTTCATACAATTTTTATTCGTTTTGTTAATTATAATGTTTAATTGAATAACGTTGTATTATTATTATTATTATTATTATTATTATTATTATTATTATTATTATTATTATTATTATTATTATTATTATTNTGTATTATTATTATTATTATTATTATTATTATTATTATTATTATTATTATTATTATTATTATTATTATTATTATTATTTCACACATTTGATGAAATTATACTGCAATTTAAATTTTCAGAAGAACACTATAGTGTTTAAGAAATAATATTAAACTTTACATGATTTTAACCGATGTATATTTATTCATGAATTTATAATGAAATTTACTTTCTCAAATGTATGCAACGTACTTGTATACAATCAACGTCCAATTCTCTATCATTTTCATGTTTATTCGTTGATATAATATAGAAAAGTATCTGTAAATAGTATTTATCATTCAACGATGGGAATTGTAGTGCAATTGAATTCACAGAAGGAATATGTGGCCCTCTAGAAACGATATTAGCTATTTCTGATCTTGACAGATGTGTATTAGCTCGTAAATTCGTAATCAAATTTGATTTCTGAGTGCTCGAAACGTACACAGGTTTAATCTAAATCAAAATTGCTACGATTTTGGAGGATTATTGATCGATGCATTCTCCGTTATAATTATTAATATTCATTTTAGATTTATATAATATCATTCATTTATTTTCTATTTATTTAATAACAGATATATTTATTAAAAACATTTATTTTTATATTAGTGAGAAATTTTTTAAATTATAATTTTGTAAAATACGAAACCCCATGCTATATCTTTTATTTTTCAACAACATTAAGCTCACTATTATTTTCCATGCACGACGTGAAATTTAGACAAAAAATATGAATAATATTTATTCGAAATCAATAAAGTAAAATATAATAAAAGAAAAAAAAAGCTTAGCATAGTAAAATAAATTGAATCGCAATAATGATCGTTCATGATTATATAGTGAATCCTAGATCACGTTATACGTGGTTTCAAGCTGGATACTTGAAGCTCGTATTAACGAGCAATCAGACTTCAAGCTGGAACGAGAGATATCGATAAGGATTTGAACGTTCTTGCACGTACCTGCAATATCGGCATATATGTATGAGTATACACACGTATATATGTATTTATATATACACATACATACATACGTGTATTAATTTCCGTAAGACCGACACGGCTTATTCGCTATGCTCTTAATGAAGAGAATTCGAACATTGGACGGTCTGAGATTTGGCACGATTTGATAAGAACCCTAAGATATACATATATATATATATATACTTAGATGTATTGGTATGTAGTAGTATAGGTAAAAGCAGGAAACTGAAATTATTATCGGTCGTGTGAAAGTAGGTCAATATTTCCTACGCGACCTTTTACATATCACCCAGCCCAGCCCTTCTCCTTTAATCATTTACAACATCGCCCTCAACGTTGAGAATCTTCTACCATCATTCAACAACCACCGCCAACCCATCTTCAACCCCTTGAACAATCTATCTATCTATATATATATTGATATTATATTATATATATAACATCGATATTACAAATTATAAAAATGTTTTGCGTTCAACGAACCGTACAAGAGTACGAACACGTAAACTTATTCGAAGGCTAAATTGCGATTGAAGTTATCGACGTATGTGTATGTTTCGTTGAAAAATATTGCACGGTAAAATACTCAAAAATATCTAGAAATATATTTCGTTTGAAGTATGACGTAGAATATAGGTGAAAATATCACCAACACACACCTTACGATATTTAATAACTTTTTTCTTTCCCCATGTGTTTTATTTCCTGTTTTTTTTTTATTCCTTTTTATTTTTTTGTTATTTTTTGCAAATATAAAATATTTGATTTTGCTTTTTTTTAAATATTATTAATGACTAAGCACGATTAAATGATAATGTAGAAATAATAATGTTTGGAAATATAATTAAATTTTATCAAGTATATCAATCGATTATTAAATATCAAATATTAATTATTATAATATAATATTATTAAGATTTAATTAAATTTGTGAATTATTTTCCACAACACTCAATAGCACATTTTATTTATTATATTATAAATTAATTCGTGCATAAATAATTACGGTTCTTGAGTATCGTAAATATCGAATATCGAATAAACTCTAACAGAATGATCAAAATTTCATTCCCGAACGATAGTCAGTTGTTTTATGCAAGTTAGTTTCGATAATGGCCCTTACATCATTATTGTCAATAGTTGAAGGACATCTGCGACCCTCTTCATCCTCGAAGCTTTCCAACTCTCTTAATATTTTTCAAACCAATAATATCGAACTATTTACTACTTTATTGTCTCTTGAAAATTATGAAAAAGTTTCTGCTACTTTTAATCTCGATTTAAACTAGCGTAATAAAAATCAAATCCTGCGAATTAAATTGTTATATATTCTTGGTGGTGCACGATGAATTTAGAAACCAAAACAACAAAAAAAGAAAAAAGAAAAAGAAAAGCAAGAAAAAAATTTCCTTCATTAATTGAAATCTTAAATTCGTGGAAATATCGTGGAAAGTAATCGAATTCTTTTTTTTGGGGTTTTTTTTCTTCTTTTTTTCTTGAATTATATATAATGCAAAATTGTGATGATAAAATGAAGAACGTTCTTCCGGTTGACGGTTATGTTCGCCGTAACGAATTTCAACTATAACGTCGTGCATTCATCATTGCCAACATCTTGCCGAGCACTTAGCACGATTCGCAATTTCGAGTGGTCTCGTCACTAAAGTCGGCCTCGGTCTTCGGGTTCGCAAAAGCCAACTTGGAAACCGCTAAACCATTTCTGGAACAGAAACCGGTCCTAGTTGCACGACTCTCGAGATCGTTACGAGACATAAACTTATCTCGCGTGTAAATACGCTAAGTGGTGCCAAGTGTACTCTGCTGTGCGCAGCACCGAGTGCAAACACGAGTACGAAAGCTCTTCGTTCTCGCTGAGAAGACGTTGGGGCACTTGGAAATTTTTATCTTTCAACGTGACTTTTCTAATATTTTATTTCTTTTCTTTTCCTTTTTTTTTCTCCTATCTTAATACCAACAACAAAAACTTAGAGAAATGAAAGAAGAAAAAATAAATATTTAATCTCACCGAAAAATATTATACATTTAATAATTGAATTTATTATTTCAAATCGTGTTCATTTATTTTTTGGACTTTTAATTATTTTTTTTTTTTTAACCATTGCATACACGCACACAATAAAATGTAAATTCCGTATGAATTTTTTAATATCGATAGAATATTTGGAAATATATGATATTCGTAAATTAAAAAATATGTAATAGTAGAGAACCTGAATTCTGATTCATAATATAAAAAAAAAGAAAAAAATTAAAACAAACGCATGAAATTGTGAACGAATGGTGTGACTACTACGGGTTCTCTGAAACGCGTTTGACCGTGAAGCAATTTGTCCGGGATGGTCGAGATCGAGGTCGAGCGAACACAACTCGTTTCACTCGTAGTTGTACGTTCAAACGAGGGGAAAGAACAATACTATTTTCAAGAGTGAACCGTACAAAAGTGTCATTGGAAAGGAAAGAAGTTGAAAATAGGCGGAGAAGTCCTATCGTATTCTTTTAAAATTATCGTAAGTTTCTTTTTTATTTCTCTCCTAAGGCAATATAGTTGATCTTCAGAAATAGGGGGTAGAAAAATTTCATTTATTTTACGACTCCCACAAGTTGTAAAAATATAATAAATGTAATATATATTTATTAAGTATTTTTATCTTACCAATAGATGACCCTAAATAAGAACAAAAAAAGAATTAACGAAGTATTTTTTATTCTTTCATTTTATTTATAAAGAAAAAGTAGAAAACGTGAAGAAAAAAATCAAATAAAGTTTTCTTTATAATATTATTATTAATTAATTTACATTTGAAATATAAACAGTAATGTAAATTTAATATATATATATACGTATGTACATGGTACATCTAATATTTGAGACTACACTTAATACATATAGATAAAAGTATTCGAAACGAAACATGGTGTAGATATAAAACGGACAAGTTTGCTATTCGAAAAGTTAGGCCGGGAATAGAAGTAACTTTGAATTTTTGCAGATCGAGGGGCTTTCGACTGCTAAAGCACAGACGGAAATAGGTGAATTTCTCTCGTTCGTACGGTCCACCCTTTCGTTTGAAAATCTCAATAAACTCGAACGATGTACCACTGTGGATACTGCTTCCTGGAAAAGTAAAGTTGGGCTACTCCTACCAGATTACTTTCTCATAGTTACGGCTAAAAGCGCAGAATCTAAAGCAAATCGTACGCTCAGCCGGATAACAAAATCGACAGAAATACAAACACTAAATATTCCCTTTTTGGAAAATTATGTTCCACGATTAATGTATTTCATAACTTTTCACTCATATGTGTGACAACTGTTTGGTTTACCCGACATAAATAAATTACAGTAATACGTTATACAAGTATTTTACACATGTTATCAATATTATCAACATTAGTACTTTCGTTAAGTGAGTGTAATGATTTATTATTTGATCGGTACAAGTTAATATGATAAATTATTTTTGCTCGAGAAAAACAGTTTGTCTAATACAAAATAAGCTTACGTAGCTTTTTTTCATGTTATAGCAGTAAAAACTGCATGTAACGTAACTAGTTGACCTAAAAAAATGATGTCAATATTTCAATTAGAGTCACTATCGCTAAATACTTCATTCTTTAATACCAAAAATTGATTTAATATAGAGATACTGAAAAAGTTCAGTTATCTGTTAAAAAACATTACAAAAATCATTCGAATACTATCGATTAATAGATTTTTTTCCCACACAAATACGAAAAAAAAAATGTTTAAAAAATACTGACCCAATAACTCTGAGAGAGTTATAATACAGGGAAATGCATATAACATCGATATTTCTCGTTTCAATTTGTAAAGCATCAATCGGGATGATATTTTTCTTTTTTTTTTTGTTTCTTTCATTTCTTTTTAAAGGTATCCTGGGTTAGGCACAGAGACATTCACATCTTGACGGCCGGTGCTTACACGTATACGAGCGACCAACGATTTCAAGCATTGCATCAAAAAAATACAGGTCAGAACAGCGAATGGTCGGAGTGGACACTTTGCATAAAGTGGGCACAGGAAAGAGATCAAGGAATTTACGAGTGCCAGATATCAACCATTCCTGTAAAATCGCATCAGTTTCGATTGAACGTCGTTGGTAAGTATCCCCATCCCCCCGTTTCATTTCTATTAATAATAATAATAAAAAAAAAAAAGAAGAAAGAAAAGAAGATGGAAACAGAGAAAGAGAGAGAGAGAGAGAGAGAAAGAGAGAGAAAAGAAAAATATGATTTCAATGTTGAAAGTTTAAAAGGTGAAAAGTAGCACGCTCGATACTCGCTGCATTCTCTCAATTACAGAAGCTTCAGCTCGCTACTTTTCCACGGGATTACGATCCTACTTAAAAAGCTCACTCACATCTCTCTTTCTCTCTCTCTTTTTTTTTCTCGTCGGCTCGCTTTTAGCTCGTTCAAGGGTAGTATCACCACACCCTGTCTCTCTCTTTCTCTCAAGCGGTATTTCTCGACTAGAAAGAGCTTTTTCGAGGGCACGCGTCTCCGTATTTATCCTAAGAAACGACGATAGCGGATAAAGGCCGTTGAAAAAAAAGAAAGAGAGATATATATAAAAGGATCAAAAAAAAAAGAAAATAAAAGAAAGAAAGAGAGAGAGAGAGAGAGAGAGAGAGAGAGAGAGAGAGAAAGGAAAAAATATCAAGAAGACGAGACAGTGAAAAAAGTATTAAAAAAAGAATGAAAGAAAATTCTTTTTTCTTTGTTTCTTTTCCTTTATTTTTTTTTCTTTTTTTTTTTTTTTATTATTACAGTACCTACAGCAACGATACTAGGTGGTCCAGAAATGTACGTCGGTGCAGGAAGTACGATAAACCTGACGTGTACCATCCACTTCAGCTCGGAACCACCGGCCTACATCTTCTGGTACTACAATGAGAACGTCCTCAGTTACGACAGTCCCAGGGGCGGTGTTTCGGTGATAACCGAAAAGGGTGGCGACGTCACAACCTCCTGGCTTCTCATCCAAGCTGCACAACCCTCTGACTCTGGGGAATATAGCTGCACACCCAGCAATGCCAATACGGCCTCCATTAGGGTTCACGTACTCCATGGTAAGTGTTTACGACCTAACGCCGACTCCATCTTTCCTTAAACATCCCGAATTCTCTCGTGACTTCATCAAGAAGCTAAGAAGAACTCAAGTATTATGACGAAAAAGAGAACGATGATGGTAGGTAGGGGGTAGATAGATGGAAGAATAGTATAGGACTATGTATTATCCAAAAACGTGACCACCATTCACCCTAGGGACATTTATTTCTTGCGAAACAAGACTCCTATAGATGGACGAACCCTTCGATTATTCGAACAACAAAGATACTTGAATTTCTACACAGCAAGATTCTTTATTATTTTTTCCTCTTTATTCTCTTCTGAAAATGATAAGAAGTGAAAACTAGCAAAAGAGAGGTACACCATGCCAAATCGATTTGGCAAGGTTTGTATTCTGAGCTACCGAGAATGGTGGAAAGATGGATAGGAAATATTTGAAGTGAATATTATCGTGTTAAACCAATCGTCCTAATTTTTTTGATATCATCTTCTGAGGTATTTGATATCGAGAAAATATCCGATGATATATATATTGAATAACGCAGATATGTTATAAGAATTTATTGACAATTCCCATAAGTGGATGAGTCATCAATGAAAAAAGATGGAAAATAAGTTTTGTCAACTCCTAAACTAAATGTTGTGTGCCGATGATTTAATACAAAACTGAATTCTATGAATTTAGGACACACGCAAGATTAGAATAAAACTTAAAAATAAAATTATTTAAAAAATAAACCTATAAAATATATTTTAATAATAATATTTAATAAAAATTGTCTAAAAGATCTGAACAAATTTATTCTAATCAATTTTAGGATTTCTTCTTATCTAATTGCTATAGTATTAGTCTTATAACATTTATTGAATAACATTGACTGGTCAGTGTTCATTTAAATGGATTTTATTGAACGAATAATAGCGTTGAATTATTCCTGTTAATCCTAATATCGTTATTTTTATCCTTAGTTATAAAAGTTGAATCAACACAGCCGTCCATATTCGCGGTCGACCAAAATTTTTTCCTCTGCATCGATTAAGAAACTTTTACGAACCTTTTCTCCTAACTCTCAGGATCCATTTCATTTTTACGATATTTTTAGGTCGCCATCGTGTTTGTGAATCTTTCTCAAAGAAGAAATTCTTCTTACGACTAGGGATAATCTTCTTTCGTATACACATCTGAGACATTTTATAAGCATAAACGATAATACGATGAAGACTGCGTACAAAGTGAAAATTTTCTTTTCCAAACTCGTACAAGTAAGATCATAAAAAAAACTCTTTTGGCTTTTTTTTATCAAAATTTCAAGATTATTAAAGAAATATAAATAAGAATATAATTAATTTTTTTGTATTTCGGACGTTTTTCAATTAAAAATTATTCAATTATGTCCACGAATTGTTTTTATTATAATTAAACTTGAATTTCTATTCGCTTTATATTTTTTTTTTTGGTTAAGGTTTCATTAACATATTCTATTTTCTTTTACAACGGTTGTGAAAATTCAAGCTAATTAGTAAAATCATGAATATTTAAAAAAGGAAAATAGTACAATTTTGTTTCTACTTTCATCAAAAATTTAACTATTTTCTTCGGTGTGTTTTTATAATAAACAAAATATTTAATAAATTCAGTTCATTATTTTAAATTGCATTTGGTTATAACTCATATTAGTTTAAATACATGTTTTTATACTTATTTATATAAATCAATTTTGTCGTAACTCTTTTAACACGATTTTTCTACGCAGTATGCATTACACGTATAAAAAAAGAACTCACGTGTAATATTCTTTTTTAAACTCTTTGAAAAGTACTGAATGAAAGAAACTAGAAAGAAAGAAATATAAAGAAGAAATGAGAAACGAAACGGATTTATAGTTTGGTGTACAGTTTCTTCCAGTTTACGAGTTTAGAAAATTGTACGAGAGTTTTTAATGTGGTAGTGTTCACGACGAACGTACATACTTTATACATGTACATATGTAAAAATACATACACACATTTGGCAGCTATGCGTGACACAAGAAAAGAACGTGAGGAAATTGCTTTTCCATTTCTTTCATAAAATAGCAGAGACACGAGCGCGATGGCTCGAGTATTGTAAATAAAAGGGTACTAAAGTTATGCCGGACCTAAAGGGTCACGCGATTTAGAACACCCTTTTCAAACTTTCATACATACGAAAACGACAACTTGATACTTATATTAAAAAAAAAAAAAAAAAAAACAATAGAAAAAGTAGGATACGTAATTTTTTACTCGTATAAAATTTGTTTTAAAACCGGTTTTAAGAAGTGTTCGTATTAAAAAATTACAAATTTTCAACATGACAGATTATTCGAAACATATTTTAAATACGATTAAAATTAATATTTTTTTATGCAAAATTTTAAAAATCTGCTTATTTTTCTTTATTTTTTTTTTTTTTTGAGAGAGAAATAACCGAAAAAATATTCATTCGTAAATGTATTCACGTAAAATGATTTTAAGGATTAGAGTTAAGTTCATGTATCGGTAAATGCGATTAACAAAATCTGTGTAAAAAAAAATCGAGATAACTTTACAAGCAAATCCAATATAAAATAAATTACATCGGATTTTCGTTAGGTGAAAAAAACAAAAATTTGTAAAGTCATATTTATTTTGTACATGATCAAGTATCAATTAGTATCTTCATGAAAAATTAATTGTTAACGTCAAACTAGGATAATGTTGAGAAAATAAACAACATAAAATAATCGAGTATCAATTAATACGCAGTGGGTCAAAAGTTCGGTGATAGCTAAATAAAAAATAAACCAATTAATTTTTTTTCAAGATTATTTATAGCAAATCATTTCGGCTTAACTTGTATTAATATAAACGAGATTAATCACATGAATTTGATTACAGGTGAGCGACCGGAAGCGATGCAAACTGGAACAGCGGGACCCATTTTATCTTCGAGCTGTCTTTTGGTGTCTCTGATCATTTTGTACATATCCTCGATATAAACGAACTTAAAAAGTAACCTTAACGAATGTCGCTGCAATGCCGTTTAGATCGTGTTTAAAAAATCCATCGAGAGGTACGTTTCTCATTTTGAAATAAAAATCTCGATTATAATATATACGAACGAAAAAAAAAAATGACAAAACGAAAAACGAACAAAAAAGAAAGAAAAGAAACGAAAAATCATTTTTCTTATGAATCTTAAAAGAAAAAAAGAGAAATAATTTAGAGAAACACGTTCTCTTTCGCGTTCTTTTTCAAAAATCCTTAGAGAAAAAGAAGAAAAGATCTTTCAATAAGTCAATCGAACGATTATCAAGGATATCTCTAAAGGACGCTAATAAAATATTAGAAAATCGTGACCGTGCGTGGTTACAGTTTTAAGTAACGAGGAGAACTTCTATAATCCGGATAATCCTCGTGGAAAAAAGAGAAACCGATTGCAAGAAAGAAAACGTTGAAAAAGTTAGAACGCATTTTTTGTTTTCCTCTTTTATCGATTTTTTAAACGACAAATCGAATTCATAGAAATGCGAATGATAAGAAAACAATGCAATTCACTAAACAAACAATGAATTATTAAATTAACTATTAATTTATCAAACAATTTTTTATAAAAGAAAACTTCATTTCTTCTCAAACGAAATCATTATTATTATTATTACTATTATTATAATTAGATGTAGAAATGAATTCGGTGTCTTAATATTAAATTATTTACAACTCTGATTTGAATGTAAATAATAATTGGCAACTCATTTTATAATAAGTACTTAACATTTACAATTATAAAACACTGATTAGTCAAAACAAAAAACTATTAGTAAACAAAATTCCAAAATTCGTATATTTTTCTTTTTGTTTTGGAATAAGTACCGATTTAGTTTCTACACCTAATATTATCATTATTATTATTATTATTATTATTATTATTATTATTATTATTATTATTATTATTATTATTATTATTATTATTATTATTAATTATTATTTGAATGGTTTCCTATAGGTGAAAAAAAATAATAATACCTAAATTATTCGTAGGGTGTTAATTAACTCGTCGTTGTCGAAAGTGGTATGAAAATTGTGTCTATATACGGGGAAAATCCATTGTGTATCGTTGACACGAAAACTCGAAAATAAATCGGCGTGTAAAGGTATTTGTAAGGTCAACGAAGAGATCCAATTATAAAGGAGTGTGTGTGTGTGTATGTATGTATATATATTTATATATATATGTATATGTATAAGTATAAGTATATGTATATAAACACATATATATACCTACCGATATACATATACACATATATATGTATAATATATTAAAACGATCTGTTTGCGTTGAACCGCGTTACTCTCTTCGTCAAAACTCCTCTACAGGAGATAATTATTATTAATTAACGGATCCTGTAATTTGGTAGCGTTAATTAACGGCACACACACGCCGGATTAAATTCAATGATTTACTAGGGAACGAAATTGATAAAGAAATAGAAGAAACGGTACAATCGTTTTTCGATTCAATTCCAAAACACATACAAGCATTACACACGCTCTCAAGTACACACACACACACACACACACACACACACACACACACACACACTGTGTGACTAACTCTTCCTCTCTCTCTCTCTCTCTCTCTCTCTCTCTATCTCTTTCTGTCTCTCTCTTTCTCTCTCTTTTTTTTTCTTTCTCTCTCTCTCTTCGTTTACGACAACGAATAAACGTTCGAATAATCGTTTTGTTGAATTTACGAGTATTTGCCATTCCGTGCAACGAGTTAACGCGTGACACGAAGCTTAATGAACGATATGAATGCGTCAAAGCGAGTCCGCGTAAACGGATACGTTTCTGTCGATTAACGGATATAAAAGTGTTACCTTTCTACCATTATACTCCCTCCCCCTGTCCCTCCCTCAAACCTTCTTTTCATTTGACTTCAAAAATGTGTAAAACTTTTTCAAATTATTTTATGAGTAGAGAGAGAAAAATCAACTCAAATTCGCTGACAAAAATCGTACGAATTAAAAAAAGAAATAAAACATACGAAACAAAGTTGGGAGGATAATGAAAAAATAAAAAAAATTGTACTCGAGACAACAAACAATGAGATATTATAATAAATGTCAAGGAGGAAAACAAACGCAAGCAACGTCGTAGTATCTTTTTTTACCCCTTTTTTATACTTACGTGTTGTTGAGTAATATAATATGCATCGATCTACTTTCTCTCTCTCTCTCTCTCTCTCTCTCTCTCTCTCTCTCTCTTTCCTCTTACTCTATCTTTCTCATCAATTTCTCAAGAAAGTACTCAAATTTATTTATAAATCTTATGATATATCACGCCTAAGATATCTAAAAATCTACGTCAATATTTAATCATCATCTTGCATAATGTTCAAATTAAAAAATAATAAAGAAAAAAAAAAAAACAACAAAAAGGTAGAATTCATATTTGAATCGTCAATCGTATTTAAATTTCGTTTTGAAATATCATGGAAAAATTGAAAAAGAAAAAAAAAGCATTTGTATCGAGTAGAAAGAACATTATTAATAATTATTGATCAATCATTCTTCATAATACGACGTTAAGTATGTGAACAGGGTAAAGAGAGTAATATAATGCGTTTAATCGTATAGAAAATTTTGTTTTTGGTTCAATCATCATGACCGGTTGGTTGTTCGATGTGCTAATGTAAATTTTCACTATTGGTCGGAGAACGATTTTGGTATATCTGTTACATGATAGTGTGTAACGTATGTATGTATATGTACATGTATGTGTATGTATATATGTATATGATATGTATAGGTTGGACGCAAAGAGCTAAATAACGGTGGTTGGACGGACGTTAACGTTGACTCGTCGACGGTTCGGCTCGGAGCGGCTTTAGTTCATTGATGTAAACACGCTCGTCGTCGACAGATGTAAACGACAAGCGTCCTATATGTATGTATGTGTACTTACCTAACGTGTGTAGTATCGCGTGTTTGAATCGACCATGTTAACGTTCCTAATCGATGCCGAGAGATGAATTTAACTTATAAATATTTGCTTTTATACTTCTACTCCCTAACGCCCACCCCCCACCACCACACTTCCCTAAAAGATATTTGTCTCTCTCTCTTCTTTTAACACTTTCGTGAACACGATCAATTTTGTAGGGGGAACAATTGTTGTATAAATAATTCTTTAAATATTTGGTAGATGTATAACTTAAAAAAAAAATTTTTTTTTAAATGTATAATTTATAATTGTCAAGTAACTATTTTGGATAAATTGTTTTTTTATTCGTAAATTAAATTGGGTAAAGTAAATTAAATTTTTTATTCATAAATTAAAATAAATTTCGTAAACACAAAACAAGCTACTCTTAAGTAAAATATTAGTTTATTAATTCTTATAAATTTTATCCATAAACGACAAAAATTTGTTGTAATAAATGTTAGTTAACAAAAAATGACATTCGTTACCGTAATACTTTAAAAATTTGAAGAAAGAACGATAAAAAAAAAAAAAAACTACACAATTGGTGAACGAAAGTGTTAATACATTTGTTTATTATTATTCTAAATGTTATAAAATAAAATAAGGAAAAGGAAAAAGAAAAAAAAAGAGAAAAAAAAAAAGAAAAGAGAGATGGTCGAACTATTTTTCAATGAAAATGGGAGAAAAGGAAAAGTTAAATATCTATACATTCTTGATCGTAAAATAGAAAAGAAAATGAAAATGAAAGAAAGAGAGAGACAGAGAGAGAGAGAGAGAAAGAGCCTCCAGGGCCAAGAAAACTTGGAAGAATAATTGCGGTGGTTTCCGGAGAAACGAAAAGAAAGAGAAAGAAAGATAGAGAAAGAAAGAGAGAAACGGGGAAGAAAAAACGAGAGAGCAAAGTTTCAAGATATTTTTCTGCTCTTTCAACGGAAACTAGGTGTAAGAGATAAGACTCTCCTACCATTTACCAACATCCTAGATCCAACTCCTAACGCGTGCCATTGCTAACTTGACGTCTTTCCTTCTTTGTCTTGCCAACCAACGACATCCTTCCGACTTCCTCTCGAAAGAGACGAAGACTAATATATCAAGATCACTTTTCTGATCTTTTAAGACTTTCCTAGAATCGTTTATTTTACACGTATTTTTCCTTTTTTTAATTTCTTTTTTTTTACTATTCTTTTCCCATCATTACTTTTCGTTTCTAATCAAACTCGATTTAAAAATAAAAAAAGAAAAAGAAAGAAATCAGAATTTTAACAACTTACATCCGGTCGAATAAAAATGTTGAAAACAATTATTAAAAATATAAAAAAATTGAATTTCGTATTTTTCAAAATATTTTTAAACGCGTGTAAAATAATTCTTTCTCTCATTGTACGATATTTAAATGTAAAATTAGTTTTCCTATTTTTCTTAAATCGAGTAAATCGAATTATTTTGTTTTTCATATCAAACATAGTTGAAAAACACGTTTTCCGATAATTCAAATTAACTTTTGTCGTATTTCATTCGAAAATATCAGTAATGTTTTGACGAATAAAAAAAGCACTTTTCTTTTTTAACTATGAAAAAAGAGAATAATACTATTTTCCCTCATAGAAAAGTTCATTTCTCTTTTTTCAGATTTTCTTGTTCCCATTTATATTTCTAACCGTGACTTTTCTATATCTTTTATCTTTTCGTAAAACTCGTCAAAGAATCTTGAAGAGAACCATTTCTCGCGGTTCCATCACAGTCTCAACCATTTTCAACTATCACTTGCCAATTTTCCTTTGAACTTACGAAACATGAAAGGTCGAAGTGTACGAACAAAAATCATTTCTTAGGAAATGTTGGAGGAAAAAAATGCGGTACTTTCTTTTCCTATTTCCTTTTTCTTTTTTTTTTTTTTCTTTATGTTTGCACTTTTAGTTACACCTTTTCTCTTTCTCAATTTTCGTCTCTAAAATCGTCGGATTCCAAGCATTGCAATAGTACGTAGTATTCTCTCTTTCTTTCATTTTATAAAAGCAAGAAGGAAAAATGTTCGCGTGTGCGTGTTACAAACGTCAAAAAGAAAATAAAAAAAATAAAAAATGAAAGAAAAAATAACCGAATGAAACTACTGCGAAATACAAGAAACGAGGTGACTTGCGAAAGA